CAGGGCGGCTTCCTCCGCGGAGCAGCAGGTGCGGAGCGGGAGCCGGAGGAGGGCCCCCAGACCGAGAGGCCATCGAGCCGGCCGCCCAAAGGTCCCTTTCGGCCCCCGATGCGGGTTTCCTCCGCCTGCTTCAGCTGAAGCCCCACTTTAAGGCAACAAACGAGGCAGCCTGAAGTCTCCCACCTCTCCCGCACCCCCGGACGCGCGGCTTCCTCCGCGGAGCAGCAGGTGCGGAGCGGGAGCCGGAGGAGGGCCCCCAGACCGAGAGGCCATCGAGCCGGCCGCCCAAAGGTCCCTTTCGGCCCCCGATGCGGGTTTCCTCCGCCTGCTTCAGCTGAAGCCCCACTTTAAGGCAACAAACGAGGCAGCCTGAAGTCTCCCACCTCTCCCGCACCCCCGGACGCGGACTCGGGCGACCAGTTGCCCGCGACCATCACGGCGCGCTGGGGCAGAAACCTGTGGGCGACCACGGCTCCGAGTGGAACCCCCTACCGCTGCGGGCTGCTCCAGTGCCACCTACTCTCCAGTTAGGTTTGCCTTTAGGATCGGAAGTCGCCTGCCCGGCTGGCAGCCTCCTCCTCTGCAGAGCCAGGGGTCACCGATAGCCATGGCCTTGCTGGGACTCGCTTTGATTTGACATACGAAAAGCCTGGGGAGGAGAGGCAGGTCTCTCTCGCTTCAGCGTCAAGAGGATCCCTTTCAATACCATCCTCTGGCTGATGAAAGTGATGGATTATTATTGAGCCCCCTTTCCCCGTTTCTAGGGATCTGCCATACTCTGTGCACACCGGTTGTATATGATTCACAACTTGAATTCTTCCTTCGAAAAAGGATTCCTAATGTGAGGGTATTGCACTGGGGAGGAGGTTGTTAATATTTTATTGCCAAAAATTTAAAACCTCATAGTGCATAAGCTGTGATTGCGAATTTTCCTTAATTTCAATGACAAAAAATGTATTTTTCTTGTTTTATCCACTACCTGCCTTTCCATTTAGAACAGTACTGGCTCCTCTCCTTTGTGGTCACAATGAAAGGGTATCTCCTCCTTGAAACTCAATTACGAAAAGATATTGTCGCTACAGTCAACCTCTTTACCAGACGACTGGATGCTAGCTGTGCCAACGACAGTTTTTATAAAAGGGTTGAAGGTGGATGAGCCAAGAAATCCTAAGATAAAGTGCTATGAGGCATTGTTACAGTGAGAATTAGTAGACAGATATGAGCCAAGAAATCCTAAGATAAAGTGCTGTGAGGCATTGTTGCAGTGAGAATTAGTAGACAGACAGATGAAGGAGAAACGCTGGTATGGAAGATTCGGCATGGCTTCTGAAAAGGGAAAGCCTGGCTCACCATCATTCAGGTCTTTCCTTAGACTGAATATCAACAAGTTATGTGAATAAATATGGGTGACCTTGTATACATTGCCAAAGGGTTTTTTGTGTGAAAAACCAGCATGATTTATTTATTTTAATCCCCCCCCCAATTTTCTTTCTCTTTAGAAAGGACCCAAGGTGGCTTACATCATTAAAAGCTAACAGCATTTAAAGTTAATATAACAACAGCAAATCTAAAAATACTAAAAAGGATCAAAACCATACCACACTAAAGCAACACCAACACATTCAAAAACAATAAGATACAAATAATAATTATTATTTATTTGACTTGTATACTGCCCATCTGGCTACAAGGCCACTCTGGGCGGTTAACCATCTATTTAAAACTCTGCTACAGCTAATCAGTAAGAGAAAGCCTGCTAGAAGAGAATGGGCTTTGCCTGCTTGCAGAAGGACAGCAAAGATGGGGCCAGACTGGCTTCTTGTGGGAGGGCATCGCAGAATCTGGGAGCAGTGACAGAGAAGGCCCTCTTCTGTGTCCCCACCAAATAGACCTGTGAAGGTGACTGGATCAAATGATGCCCTATTCAAATTGGATGTTTGTCCAATGCACAATTGGTAGTATTAAAGATGCAATTTTTTAAAAAGTGTGTTAAATGTGACAAGTCACATGACATGAAGTCTAGCTTCTTATCCCTCACCAAAGACTCTCGAATAAACTCGGTATAGTTAAGGGAGAAGGGGACAAATTCTTTCACAAATCAGTAACTAGTTGGAAATAGGGCAGTAGACAGACAGTTCTCACAAAGGAAGGAAATATACAAAATGTCTTCTCTGAAGGGACTGTATTTGGACCTGTGTTATTTAAGTTACTATGAAATGATCTGAGGGAAGATGAGAGCTGTGAGGGAGCCATGGTACGCAGCAGACATCAAATTACTCTGTTTACAACACTTGTTGTCAGTGAACCCACCTCGTTGAATGCTCTGCATAACTCCCCACCCCCAATCCTCACACTAGGTTGCTCCCATAGATGCTATAAACTCCTTATTCTGTCTTTCAAAGACACCCACAGCCTTGCTCGTGTTTTCCTACAAGTAATCTCCCTGCGCTTCCTTCTGCTCCCTCAGAAGAAATTAGAGAAAGACTAATAGCAAAAACCAGAAACCAGGATATTTGGCATAAAATATCATCATTAAAGTGGAGATGGTGTGAGACAGAAGGCGAGAGGGATACCCCACTTGCCGGACAGCCATCCCTCCTCAACAGCAAAGCTAAGGAAGCGAGACTCAAGCCCGCACCAGAGCCAACAGCAAAACCTCAGCCAGAGACAGAAATAGAGGAGCTGACAGAAGAGATGCAGAAAGTGACGATGGGGGAGGCTCAGGAGGAAAAGGCGGGAAAGGAGAGGAAAAAGAGGGTGGAGTTTGAGGCAGGAACAGAGGAGGTAAAAAGGAGAGAGGAACAGTTGTAGCCTGGTTGGGAATGGGTGTGGAAGGAGGATCCCTGGACGGGGTTATGGGAGAAGTTAAGAGTACCCAAGGAAGAAGCGGATATATATAAGGAGGAGATTCCACCCAGACCCTCTTATTGAGGAGAAACTGAGGCGAGAGAGCGGAGAAGGAGACTGAGAGAGGCGAAAGAGAGAGTTGAGAGAGAAAGGAAAGATTAGAATGGAGAGTAAGAGAGATGAGGAGAAGGAGTTACAGGGAGGACCCTGGGAGGACCGAGACCCCAAGAGACAGATCCTGTGGAGTGATGACTGTGCCCTTGTTGGAAGGCTTGATGGGGCAGACCATAAGAGACTGGGTCGCTTCACATCTACGGGGACAATAGTTATGGAAATCCGTTCCTGAAGATTGGAAACCCCTTTTGGATCCATTGGCAGACAGAGAAAAGATTCACAATCATGTTACAGACACCTGTTTATTGTTAAATACACCAATAAATCTTTCACCTGTTTTGAAGCAACAAGAATCTGCTGATTTCTTTGAGCCGAACATGGAGCCAAAAGTCGAATCCTCACAGATGGGCAGGCCACACCCTGAGACAAGTAGATGGGCAGTGGAATGGAGCAATACAACAATGGTGGCCTTGGATCAGAAGAAGGTGTAGGTAAAGGTTCCCCTTGACAACTTTTGTCCAGTCGTGTCCGACTCTAGGGGGCGGTGCTCATCCCCGTTTCCAAGCCGTAGAGCCAGCGTTTGTCTAAAGACAGTTTCCGTGGTCACGTGGCCAGTGCGACTAGACACAGAACGGCCTTACCTTCCCACCAAGGTGGTACCTATTTATCTACTCGCATTTACATGATTTCGAATTGCTAGGTTGGCAGGAGCTGGGGCAAACGATGGGAGCTCACTCCATCGTGTGGATTCGATCTTACGACTGCTTGGTCTTCTGACCCTGCAGCACTGAGGCTTCTGCAGTTTAACCCGCAGCGCCACCATGTCCCTTAGCAGGTGTTAGAACATTGCAAAAAATGTGTGGAAGCAGAAAGGAGAGGCCTATACCTGGCGCTGGATGTCAAAAGGGTTAATGAAGAAGAACGCATCTTTGTGTGACCATGTTAGTGTTCAAATCCCAATGTAATTAAGTCTAAATATCTGTAATTCATAAATTAGGGAAAACAAAAGTTCTGAATTAACTGGAAAGAGGAAAATCTTGGCCTATAGCTATAATATAAGTTAAATACTCTGTGTCTGTTCTTCTTCTGCTATGTGGTATAAACCTAGACCACAGCAGTGGTGAGAATTATCACCATGCACACTCCTTTACAGTGATCTATCAGTAATGCTGATCAAGTGTGACAGGCAGTTGATATTTCACTGGGTGGGGAATATAACTGTAACCAATGGAAGCACTTGTATATGATCAATATGTTATAACATAGGATGAGATGTTTTGGGAAGAATAATTCCAATATTTTCATGCAAGACATCCTGCAACATTTCCTTGTAGGATATACAATAAGTTAAGGAAAAAAATTTTTCCATTATTGATTGACACCAATACTAGAGGCCTTACAAGCTAGCTTTATATTTTATGGGCCAAAATCTTGTTGCTTAGCCCAATGAATCACACTAGAGTAGGGCCATTCAATCAGTGGAAATGTAATGAGTCAACTCTGTAAGGTCAGTTGATTCAAACAGGCCTACTCTGTAACTTGCTTTAGCACAGTAAGATGCAGTTGTGGCCCTTGGGCCACACTTTGCCCAGGTCTGAGACTCATTTCAATCAATGGAGCTTACAGAAGAGTTGACTCACCAAATCCCTACTGAGTCTGATACAATTGATTGTGCTGAGCAACCAGCTTTTGGCCCTTGTGAGATCTGAGAGTCAGAGACTACACAAAGGTCTACGTGAAGAATACACTGACCAAATTATTTTGACTGGAGAAAAATACTTATGGTATGTAACTCAGTTAAAGTTAAATTGGACTTAATAGCGTTAGATATGATTCTTGTTGCTATTTTAGGATCTTTTCCAGTGATATAGCTCATGTAAGCTGTTTGATTAAGGAAATGATAGGCTGACTACCCATCTAAGGTCAAATAATCCTAAAACAGTGTTGTGGTGTTGTCTCAAAGATCCAGTTAATAATACAGGCTGGAGGGAACTGAAAGCCTGCTTGTGGCAACCAAAATGCACACAGCAGTTAACCAGATAAATGATTATTTACCCCATTTCTCTCTGCACTTATGTATTTATCCTATGTATAAATCTTTCCTCTTCCTCTGTTCTTTTTTCCTGCGCTGATGTTTAGATTAGAAGCTCCTTGGAACAAGGACCACGCACCTCACATTTGTACAGTGATGAAAATTGATGAAAAATTACCAGCAATAAGTTGAAAACCAGAGTGGAATGTCCTTCATAATAATTGGGTGCAGATTTGTTCAATATAAGTAATACTATTTTTCATTACTGCATATTTGTTCAGCATAAGTAATACTAAAGTAATGCACAGCTGAGGCTGAAAATCAGAAATTCACTGATGGGAACAGAACTGGCAGTGACTAACTGGGAAGAAGACATTGGGATTGTAGCTCAATGAACATGTCAACTCAGTGTTGTAGCAGTGGTGAAGAAAGCAAATTCTATGCAAATCTGAAACATGATAAAAGACGGAGTCACAATTTTGGGAGGTGAATAACAAGTGCAGGGGAAAGAAAAACAACTCAAGTCCTCTCTTTTCCTCATCCCCTTATATAATAGAGAGTAAGCATGTGGATAGGTGGAGAGGAGAAGCTCAGGGGCAGAACAAAGGCTTTGCCTTCAGAACGCTCCAGGTTCAGTCCTCTCCTTATCTCCAAGTTTGTTGCTGTTATGTGCCTTCAAGTCAGAATTGATTTATAACGACCCTAAATGGGCTTACAAGGTGAGCTCTTTAAGAAGTGGTTTTACCAGTGTTACACTCTCAGGTGAGTTTGCAAGGCTGGGTGGGGATTTGAACCCAGGCCTCCTGAGTCCCAGTCCAGTACTCTATCCACTCCACTATAGTTGGTATCTCCCCATCTTCAAGTAGGGTTGGGGGAAAAATCCTGCCTGATACTCAAAAGAGGGTCTTCCAGTCAGAATTGACAGAAATAGGCTAGGTTAGTGGTTCCCAACCTTGGTTCCCCAGATATTCTTGGCTAAAACTCCCAGAAGCCTTTAACACCACCTCTGCTGGCCAGGATTTCTGGGAGTTGAAGTCCAAGAACAACTGGAGGCCCAAGGTTGGGGACCACTGATCTAGCCGAGTGGTTCCCAACCTTGGTTCCCCAGATATTCTTGGCTAAAACTCCCAGAAGCCTTTAACACCACCTCTGCTGGCCAGGATTTCTGGGAGTTGAAGTCCAAGAACAACTGGAGGCCCAAGGTTGGGGATCACTGGGCTAGATGAGCCAAGGATTTGACTTAGTAAAAGTCAGCCTCTGAGTTTTTCTACCTTGCTACGGGTGAATGTGGAAGTGTGTCTAAAAGTGTGTGTATGTGTGCAAAAAAAGAGTGTGATTTTGCAATGAGGGTTTATTCATGTGTGGGAATGTGTGAGCAGATGCTTGTGTGTGAATGGAGTGTTTTTTGTGGTAGCCAACTTGTTACCAAGAGAGACTTAAAACTGTCTACTGGCTGAGCAAGGTTGTTGACACATCTCTTTTTTTCAGCTGCAGATCCAGTGATTCTGGAATTACATCAAGTGACGGAGATTTGTCTCTTCTCTAATGGCCATGTTTAAATTCCTGGGATGCACAGATGTAATTTGTCTTGTTGAGTGTCTGCTTCCCTGTCCTTTCCTTACTTGATGTACCATATGAAATCAAGCCAGTGGCCAACATCCCTAAAAACTATAAGGATGCAGTCTTGCCAGGGGCATGCTCTTGCTGGATGAAGTCCAAAATATCCACTTCTGAGAGCACGGGTGATCAGTGAAAGCAGAGGAAACCACCCCCAGAGACCCACTGCAGTCCCTAGAGATGTCTAGAGACTGTTCCACACTGGACTATAGCCTTCTGACATTCACATGCAACTCTAGGCTACTTTCCAATTCTACGGCCATTGACCCAGTTCCAAGCTCTATGGCTCCCCAAAATTCTCCTGATGGTGGCCAAAAAGCCAAAAACAAAACAAAACAAAAAAAGGAGGTAAGAGAGAACTGTCTGCCAGCAGAGAGTGATAAGTGGTTCAGCATCTCAAACACAGTGTGTATATCAAAAGGAAAAACAAATAAACTCTTGGCAAGAAATTTTATTGGAAATATATGGGTCTTTCTTGCAGCATTTTATGGAAAAGAGTTGCAGAGTGCATAGCAAAGCACAATATGCTACCTACAGTGGAGCCTTGACTTATAGACGGCTTGACTTACAGACTTTTTGAGTTACAGACTTCTCTGGCCGCAAAATTTAGGTTTGACTTGCAGCCTGAGAATTGACCTACAGACCAGAAAAAAACCAAAATGGAACAAAAACGGCCTGTTACGGGATTAATCGGTTTTCCATGCACTGTAGGTCAATGGAGACTTGACCTACAGACTTTTTGACCTGCAGCCACCGGTCCAATACGGATTAATTCCGTAAGTCAAGGGTCCACTGTATATACTGCCCCATAGTGCTCTCTGGGCAGCCCACAGTTTAATTATGCAGGCAAGTTCCCCTGTCCCTCTGTGAGCTGGGTACTTAATGTAGTGACCTTGGAAAGATAGAAGGCTGAGTCAGCCAGGAGCCAGCTACCTGACCCTGGGATTGAACTCAGGTTGTGATCACACTCTTTGCTGCAGTACTGCAGTTTAACCACTGTGTCATGAGGTTCCTTATCTTTTGGTTTTTCTGCATTCAGAAAACCAAGAGATGGAAAGGCGTGTTAGTTCTTGTCAAACATCTGAAGGCCACATGGAATCTGTGGTGGAAGGCTACAATTTGCCTGTCCCTGGCTAAATGGTCACTTGGAGACAGGCATGACTGGTTCATGCAAACCTCGGCACGCACACCTCTGCTAAGATATATTGCCATGTTTTGCTGGAGGTCCACATTGGCTATATTGATTAATCTAGAATAGCAACAAAATATAGATCAGCTCCAGTTCACCCCTTACCTACTTTCTCCAGCCAGCCACAGCTCTAAACATCTGATTCTGTATTATATCAAACACTGGAGAGAGGGACACTGGAATGTGGGTTTGGGTGGCTAGAGGGCTGGGCCAGGCCTTGGATTGAGATCTAGTCCCAACCTAGTCACAAGGCTCCCTCAGTGACATTGGGCCAATTTGTTTTCCAGATTGACCTACCTTACAGCATTGTTATGATGAGCAGAAACTGAGAGAGGGAGAGGTGTGTGGAGCTTATTCCTTTGCATTCAGCAGCTTCAAAGTATTCAGGGTGGATCTCAGAGTTCAGTATTCAAAGCAGGCCGATATTCAAGGCATGAACAACCTAGCTGATATGGCAAAATATCTGTGGAAGAGATTCTTCAGTCTTGAATTCAAGAACAGGAAGTGCTATGACTTGAACTTCCTTGTTGGCCGCAGACCCTTTTTTCTCCTCACACCTAGTAATTTTCTCAGAAAGCCATTCTAAGAGATGCCATAAAATAAGCAAAAGAGTCACTAGATTTTTCCCCCAAATGTCCACACCAGCTTTTTCTAAATGCTTGTCTTTAATAAGAAATACCATATTGCCTCCCTGAGCCTTCTTTTTCAGCTACTCCCCCCCCACCCCCCGTAATTGGATAGAGCGATTACAATCACACTCTAAACTAGATCTTGCAGATGAGCCTGTCAATAGAAAGGGAGCTTATCACATTAGCCTCTGAAATAGAGACCACAAATTCCACCTACAGCTGGCAAGTTAGCAAATGAGAGTATTAGAAGGAGCGTAAGAAAAACCGGGGCCTAGACCAGAACTTGGCCACCCCCACCCTTTCCTGCCACCTGCCAAAGGAAGCTTGTTCATGCCTTTAAAAAAAAAATAAAATCTCTCAACATAGTGCCCTTTCCCCTCCGCCAGCCTTCAGGGAAAGGAACATGCATTGACTGTGGCAGTGTGAAGTCAACTGACAAGCTCTCAGAGACAGTGTTACTTCTCAGTTGCAAATAAGGCTTCAAGTTGGGGTTCAGAATACCTGCCTCCTTTAGAGAGAAACATGCGGAGGAAAAGTCTCGGGAGAAAGCTGTGCTTCCCGGAGAATGGCTGCAAAGGGCAGTCTCTCTGCCTGAATGTCTGGGGAGTGGGAGTGTTTTCATGTGAGGACATGTCTAAGTGGCTTCCAGATTACTCAGCAGCCCTGAGAGACCAAGCAAGCCATCACAAGGATGTTGAGGGCTAAAGGAAGGAATACAAGCATGCTTGATAGGAAAGAGTGCTTTAGAAAAACACCATCTCCTGTTGCTTGTGACCTTCCTCCAAATTTGACTGAGAGAGAAAACACAGGAGATGCCATTATCAAACTGATGTCGTTTGAAAGGCTGCTTCCAGAGGGTGGCTTTACCTCACGGCAAATCAAATCCTGGCATTGCACGTCACAATTGTGTTTTGGGTTGCTCTTTAATCCTTTTAATTCAGTGGTCATAATATTGTGCCGTTTTTGCTAAGTGCCATGAAGTAGTGTTAGGAAATGGGAAGCATGCTAAATTGTGAAAGGACAAATTACAGAAGCACACATCCAGCTCTTAAAGAGAACATGAGGCAGTTTGTGGATTAAATTCTCAAGATGAATCCCTCGTGTCGCTAAAGAGCATTTGACCCTTCATCCTGGGCATGGCCAACAACTGTGCTGGTTGAGGGACTCTGGGAATTGTAAACCCCCAAAATTAACTGGTCTGGGAGCCTATGAGGCACCAGACTTCTTCAAGATCTGGTTAATGGCTGTGTGCAAGGCAACTTGAACACCCCACGCATGGAAGGAAGGTGGGTACAAGCAAAATTAAGACAGAAGTCCTTAAAAATATAGTGGAAAGCTAGCACCATTTAGTGGCTCGAATGTAGAAGAGCCAGGTTCAAATACCCGCTTGTCCTCACAAAGTTCTCAGTGAATTAATTACCTCGAGTGAGTCCCTGCCTTTCAGCCTAACCTCTCACAGAAATGTTACAAGGGTAGAATATAGAAGGGGTGGGCAGATGAAAGAGCCATTTACAACACCCTGGGGTCCTTGGTGCCAAAGTGGGAGCCGGTAAATGTAATAAATCAATTAAAAATAAATAGAATGGTATGGTGTCGAGGACACTAGTTAACACTTCTAAGGGGCCAAGGCTGCAAAAGTTGTTTGTACAGATGCCTCCTGCTCGGTCAGGGAACTAAATTTAGGCCAGCCCAAGCTCATGCTTGCTTGTTGCAAATTAAACAGGGTTGCAGCTTCTGAGCACAGATCCTGGCTTCCAGGAGATGCTCCACTGGCGTTTTTGTTTGCTCAAAAGAGTGGAAGAGACATGAAAACCACCCCCAGCTCCAAAATGGTCTCAGCTGCTGCTCCTCTTAGAAGCAGGGTGAACAGAAAGAAATGCTCCAGAAGCCTAGGGGGGTCTGGAAGAGTGCAGGGCGGGCAGAGGCAGAAAGAGAGAAAACAGAGGGGAAGAGGGACACCCAGACCATTTGAGAGGCACCAAGCACACGTTAAAGGGCAAGAGATCCAAACTGGGCATAGAGCTGGATAGGGAATGGGGTCAAAGGCCTATGTATGCAAGCCCACATTCTCCTACGAATCAGACATGCCTGCTCTCTTGGGCTTAGAGTTCATTGGCTCTGCCTGCCCTCTCCCTCCCTCCCCTCCTCCCCCAACTTTTTGTTTTCACCCAGCCTGCCAGACACTGGTCCTTGTTGGGAGAAGATAGACTGGAGGGTAAATATCTCGCTGCCCGCTATTCCCCTCTTTTCTCCCTACAGCGCCACCTGCTGGAATACTCACAGATTACCATAGCAAGGATTTTGTTTGTCTTTCTATGTGCCCTCAGGCAACATCCGACTGGGAGTGACCCTAATAAAGTTGCTAGCTGGCTGGAGATCTCAGTGAGTTTGATACACAGAGGCTGGGAATTCGATTCTCCCCTGTGCATCCGGAGAGAATGACCCCAGAAGAAGCTCTGTACCTAGAAAACCCTGGAAAGGGTTGGAATCAATTTGATGGCACATAATTAATAGGACATTTTAAAAAATTGAATTTTTAAAGTGTGGCCTAGCCTTTGCCAGCCTGCAGTGGTTTCCATGGCTGAGCAAGAATCTGAACTCAGGACGACTGAGTCACTCTGCCCATTGCACCACGCTAACTCTCAATGAGGAATTGATGTTCCTTAATTCCTGCCCTGTCTCCTAAACTCAGAGTCAGCCTTCCCATTAGGCAGAGCGAGGCAAGGCAGCAGATTTGGGGCACCTGTGTGTGTGTGTGTTGTTGTTGTTGTTGTTGGGGATTAAAACCTGGCTTGGGACTCCTACATTGCTTGATTTGGATGGGCAGGCAGGACCACGCTTACTGCTCTACTTCAAGACACAAAGTGTCTTTGGCAGGTGCTGCTTAAGTACTGGTTCAAAATTGGGAAAGGAGTACGACAAGGCTGTATATTGTCCCCCAGCTTATTTAACTTATATGCAGAATACATCATGCGGAATGCTGGACTGGAGGAATCCCAAGCCGGAATTAAGATTGCCGGAAGAAATATCAACAACCTCCGATATGCAGATGACACCACTCTGATGGCAGAAAGTGAGGAGGAATTAAAGAACCTTGTATTGAGGGTGAAAGAGGAGAGTGCAAAAAACGGTCTGAAACTCAACATCAAAGAAACTAAGATCATGGCCACTGGTCCCATCACATCCTGGCAAATAGAAGGGGAAGATATGGAGGTAGTGACAGATTTTACTTTCTTGGGCTCCACGATCACTGCAGATGGAGAAAGCAGCCACAAAATTAAAAGACGCCTGCTTCTTGGGAGGAAAGCAATGACAAACCTCGACAGCATCTTAAAAAGCAGAGACATCACCTTGCCGACAAAAGTCCGAATAGTCAAAGCTATAGTTTTTCCTGTAGGGATGTATGGAAGTGAGAGCTGGACCATAAAGAAAGCAGACCGCCGAAGAATTGATGCCTTTGAATTGTGGTGCTGGAGGAGGCTCTTGAGAGTCCCCTGGACTGCAAGGAGAACAAACCTATCAATTCTAAAGGAAATCAACCCTGAGTGCTCACTGGAAGGACAGATCCTGAAGCTGAGGCTCCAATACTTTGGCCATCTCATGAGAAGAGAACATTCCT